GCTCTGCAGGACCGCAGAGGTGTTGCGTCAGCCAATGCGGACCATCTTGGCCAATGGGCGGGGGTGGGGTGAAGCATCCCAAATCCCCCGCTGCCCCCCTACCAACCGGAGGCTGCAGTGGACCAGCCAGGTAGCAAATAACTTCCCACGCCGTCCGGTGTCACGCAGGCGCACAGAAACGCCTTGCGTCCTGGAATATCCGTTTGTTAGTGATTCATCTTTTTATTTATCATGCGTCAAACCTTTCCTCAGGCCTAGTGTGAGCTGGGCGTGGGGAGCCACTGGAATCCATTTTTTTTCTCATTTGCATGTAGTTTTAAAAAAATGATAATCTGTCGAGACATTAGATCCTAATAATGCAGGGATGCTCTCTCATTTTAGGGAGAGGGAGCAGGGTCCCTGGAACTGGGCCTGGAAGAGAAGGCAAGACAAGATGGCTCGAGCCCAAAGTGCATAGGGATAAGGAGAAAGCAAAGGGAGATTACTATGTAGCTGTGTGATTGAGGGGGGTAGTGTCCGGAGTTGGATGTCTGAAAGGCAGACTATCTGGGAGACTTTGGAAAGGCTGAGTTTCAGATTTTGGATAACGGTAACTTTATTAAAGCGGACATCGTAAATACCTCCAGATTCTTTGTGCCTCATAATAATAACTTATACAAATATCCAGGTTGGTCTTCGGCAATATACCTCCCGAATTTTCCATGCAATGCCCATGTTTTAATGAATGGAAAGCTTCAGATACAGATTTGAGTTTTAGCGGATGCCCTCTGCTGGCTGCCAGGAGAATGGATTGGAAGGAGGGAGAGCAGTGAGGAAGTTAATGCTATTCTTCAGGTGAGAGTGACGTAATGGGCAGACATGGGAGGATTTTTAAATAAATTTTTTATTTTAGAAGTTTTAGATTTCGGGGCACCTGGCTGGTTCAGTCAGTAGAGCATGCAACTCTTGATCTCAGGGTTGTGAGTTCGAGCGCCACGTTTAGTGTAGAGATTACTTAGAAAAATAGAATCTTAAAACAGTTTTAGATTTATAGAATTATTGCAAAGATAATACAGAGAGTACCCATATACCCCGCATCCAGTTTCTCCCATTGTTAACATCTTACACTAGTCTGGTACGTCTGTCATAATTAATGAACCAATACCAATACATTAGAGTCCACACTTTATTCAGATTTCCTTAGTTTTTTTAAATATTTATTTTTGAGAGACAGAGCATGAGCAGGGGAGGAGCAGAGAGAGAGAGAGAGAGAGAGACAGAATCTGAAGCAGACTCCAGGCTCTGAACTGTTAGCACGGAGCCTGATGCGGGTCTTGAACCCACAAATTGAGATAATGACCTGAGCCGAAGTCAGACACTTAACCAACTGAGCCACCCAGGTGCCCCAGATTTCCTTAGTTTGTAATGTAAGTTTTCTGTTACAGGATGCCATCCCAAAGAACATATTACATTTATTTGTAATGTCTCCCTAGACTCCTCTTGGCTGTGACTGTTTCTCAGACTTTACTTGTTTTTGATGACCTGAAGTCATCAGCATTTGAGGAATACTGGTCAGGTATTTTGTAGAATGTCCCTCAATTGGGATTTGTCTGATGTTTTTTCTCATGATTAGATTGGGGTTATGGGTTTGGGGAAGGAAGACCACAGAAGGAAAATGACAGCCTCATCATATCAAGAGTATATGTTATCAATATGTCTTACATTGTTGATGTTAATTCTGATTGCCTGGCTGAGGCATGTCAGGTTTTTCCACTGTAAAGCTACTCGTCCCCTCCCCCCAGCCCCCTTTCTGTACCCTACATACTTTTTGGAAGGAAGCCACTAAGTGTAGTTTATGCTTAGGGAGTGGGGAGTTAAGCTCCATCTCCTTGAGGGGGAAATATCTACATAAATTAATTGAAATTCTTTGACATGAAAGACCTATCTATTCTATGAGAGCTTTTAAGATGATGAAATCAATGGACTTTGGATATGGGAAAAGAGGGGACTGAGAGGAGTCAGGGATGACTGCCGGGTTGTTGTGGGACCTTGGGCAAGGCCCCTTCCCTTCCTTGTCCCACCTCTGTGAAATAGTTGGAACACCAGATCTTGGACATACTCCATGATTCTGATAAATGTTTTGGGGAGAGCATGAAGGCTTTGTTGGCTCTGGTTCTGACCTGGGACTGCACTGTCAGAGGTGGGTAGAGGAGACTCTGGCCCAGAAAGGGTAACATCTTGCCTCAGGGCCAGAGCTGAGAGTGCAGGATCCCAAGTCAAAGGCATCTTGTGTAGAGGAAAAAGATACCACTGTGTAGTATCAGGGGCCAGTCCCAATTTTCAGGTGGTGAATTAGGGGAGAAACATCAGGGGCAAAGGGCCTGGAGTAGGCCAGGAAGAGGCCAGTCTGAGAGACAGACAGCCTGGCCTGGGTATCCTTCCCTCAGTGTGCTCTGCCTCACAATGTGATTCCATCACCCTCGCTAGAGGGTCTTTTTCCCTTCTGCAAACTTAGATCAAGCATGCTGGGACATCAACACTTGGAGAAACAATGCCCAGGATCCCAAGATGGAGACCAGCCCTGAAGCAGACCTCTGAAGCCTGGCCCTCATCATGCTCTTCCCTGATTCCTTTCTGCTCTCCTAATCAAATCCCCAGCCCCTCATCCTGGCATTTGAGGCTCCTCTTCACCCACACTGTCATAGAAGGCCTCTGGCTTCAAGGACACTGTTAGAAGCCAATTCTGGGATTCTAATATAGTTGGCTAGGGTTCTCATGTTTTGGGTTAAGACATGGTAGGAGAGGATGTTCTTTGCCTAGAGTGACATCTTTTCCATGTCCTCACTCCTCAGTGTGTGGTGTGGCTTCAGGTCCTGCCCAGTTTGGGCCTCCAAAAGGGAGGGCTGTTCTTGAAGGTCTTTAAGGTCACATCCAACTCCAAAATATAGTCTTTGCTGAAGACCAGAGAAGACAGGAGCCATTTTCTGGGAGCCTAAACAGAAACCAGGAGGAGGACCAGATGGAAGATAAGGAGTCATGGACCCAGTGTGCCCCAGGGCCTGTTCCCATGCTAAAGCTATTTGTCTTTGTATCCTTCATAGCTTACCCCACTCCTCTGCAGCAGAAGGCCCTGTTCCTGGGGGTGAGGTTCCCAGGATCTCCTGGGACCAGACCTTTAAAGTTCCACCCACTTCTGTGAACAAAAGCAGATGGACAGGGACAAAAGTAGACTCAGGAATATCCCTCCTTCTCAGGTGACCAAGAGTGCCAGCACTGGTTCCCTTGGTTGGTGGTATGGAGGATGGTTGGAGATGAATCCTATTCAGTTAGTAAACATTGATTGAATACCTACTGTGTGTCTAATACTAAACTTAGTGATAGATACAATAAGGAAACATGATAAACTAAGTCTGTCTTCCTGGATCCCAGAGTTTAAGACAAGTTTGTGCCATGGACCTGTTTGGTGATCTGGTGAAGGCTATGGACCTTTTCTTTTCTTTAAAAAAATTTTTTTTAATGTTTATTTATTTTTGAGAGAGACAGAGTGCAAGCAGGGAAGAGGCAGAGAGAGAGTGAGACACAGAATCTGAAGCAGGCTCCAGCCTCTGAGCTGTCAGCACAGAGCCCAACGCGGGGCTCAAACTCACGAACCACGAGATCATGACCTGAGCTGAAGTCGAATGCCCAACTGACTGAGCCACCCAGGTGCCCCAGGCCTTTTCTAAAGCAAAACAAAAGAAAACAAAACAGCATCTTTTAGATGCATAAAATTATATACCTAGAGTTACAAAAGAAACTGATTATATTGAACTGTAGTTATTAAAATATGGAAAAGGCAAATATGTGCTATGGTAATATATGTGCTCCTCACTAATCCCTTAAATCATAAGATCTAGTGGAGGGTCTCATGAGAATCATGATTTTATTTTTTTAATGTTTGTTTGTTTGTTTGTTTGTTTGTTTATTGAGAGAGACAGAGAGAGAGGGAGGGAGAGGGAGAGAATCCCAACCAGGCTCCACAGTCAGTGCCAAGCCCAGTGCGGGGCTCAGTTTCACATAGCATGAGATCATGACCTAAGCTGAAATCAAGAGTCGGAGGCTTAACCCACTGAGCCACTCAGGGGCCCCTATCATAAATTTAGATTAGAGATGAGATTACATATTTCAAGAGATCTGCAACATCTGTACTGTGATATGAAAAGCTCTGTGATTTCTCTTGGTGACAGAATCACAGGTACTACTACTATTTTGCATTCTCTACTGAAAAAAATTCTAAATTTCAATTAGAGTGAAAATAAAGATGTATAATTTTTCTCATCCGAATTCATGGGCCCCTCCAAACCCTGTCCTGGGACTGGATTGGAGGTCCATCAACCCCAGTTAAGAACCCCTGATAACAGAAATGTCCTTCCTGTCTCTCCTTCCTTCTTAAATAGCTTTCCTTTGGAGAACAGAACCTGGGTTTTATTCAGGGTCTTGTTGCTGTGTGACCTCAAGGCAATCAGTTTGCCTCTCTGGGGCCATAGTTCCTTCAGTCTGAAACAATGGGAAAGGCAAGAATTAGGAGGGGAGACCTTAACTATATATGCGCCAGGCAATTAATTTGTGTCCTCTAAATCCGCACAACAGCATCGTTAGGAAAGATTTCAAAATTATCTTCCCCTTTCACAGATGGTTAAACTTAGGCTCCTGGTGAGGTTGTCACTTGACCAATGTCTTAGTAAGCAGCAGGACCTGATGGGTGAATGGCCAGAGCCCCATAACCACCTCATCGTCCATGGTTGAAATGAGGCAGTACGTTCATTTTGAGCAAAAGAAACCTGGTTCAGAAATCCCTGCAGGTGGAGGTAAGGTCGTGTCTCTTAGCAGAGCGTTGGCTTATGTAAAATGGCTCACGGAGAGTAAGACGTCAAGAAGCCGGGAATCTACTTGACTGACGCCCAGCCTCGCTTTGGGCTTCGCGTCTGCGTGTTCCCAACTAATTCCCGAAGCCCTGTCAGACAGACTGGCAAAGGGCAACGACAAGTCCTCTTCTCCTGGCCAATCCTATTAAAGGGTGGGCTTGGCTCATAAACCAATCAAAGACCCCCAAGAGGGCGGTGTTTTCTTCGGCTTGGATCCCGGCCTGGGGGAGTAAAACTAAAGTGTTTCCAACTCCAGCCAATCCCAGGGAAGGCAGGAGGGCACTCCTCCAATGGGAACCCGAGAGCGGTCAGTAGCTGTGGAGGCCTGCTAACCCGCTCGTTCTCCAGCCGACTGGAGGGACGCGTTCAGTGTGTTCACTAGATCCAGCCGTCGGTCCCTCGAATCTGCTCGCGCTCGGCAGCGGCGACGCGGATGGCAGGAGGTGTCTGGTGAGACGCTGTAAAGACGGGGTTGGAGGGTGTAAAGGAAAGAGGCCGGGCTGGAGTGCAAGAGGGGTGGGGCCTGGGCGAGCTTTTACCTGGGCGGCCTCTTAACCCTAGGTCAGCAGGTTGCTGAGGATCCTGCGGGTAGCAAAGGGAGGGCGAGTGCCCCTGCAGCCCCAGACAGCAACCAGGTGAGTACCCTGCGGAGCCCATCGCCCATGCCCACTCTCCATCCCCCACCCCTGTCTCTTGGGAAACGGTTCGGTGCAGGTCTGCAGCTCACGTGATCGTCTGCGTGCGTGTCTGAAGTCTCCATCTCTCTGCCGCTCCTCTCCCTCTCCGTCTCTACCTCCATCTTACTGTGTGTCTCTATATTTCTGCCTGTCTCTTTCTCTGAGACATGCTAGACAGCCCAGACCTAGAAGGCTGAACCCTGACCTTACCAGTTAAAACTAGCCATGAGACCTTGAGCCATCTACATCACCCATATAGGCCTCAGTTTCCTCATCTGTCAAATGGGAGTCTAATAATCTCCACCTGAGACCATACATGTGCATCACTTTGCTCAGTGCCTGGCCCCTAGAGAATTCCCAATAAATTATGACTGTCGTGATTGAAAAAAAAAAAAAAAATCTCTCTTGGTATTTGACTTTATTTTCTCCCTGTCTCTGACCCAACCCCCATTGATTCTTCTTTCTAAATGCTTCTTTCTCTGTTACTGTTTTTCATCTTTGTATCTGTCTCTTTCTCATCTCTAAGCAGGTTAAAGGTGCATTGCTTATAGCAATAAGTTTGGCCTGAGAGCCCTTATGAGCTTCACCTGGGGTTCTGGACTGTTCTGTGGGTAATAAATAAATAAATAAATACATAATAAAAATAAATTAAAAAATGGAGCCGGGCCTTGACTGGCTTCTGGCTTCACTGAGGAGAGACTCCTCTTTATTTCCTCACTCTACTGTGTTAAACAGGCAGAGACCTACAGGGTCAGAAGCAGCTTAGATGAAAAAGTGAACCAGGCCCTTTAACCTTTATCATGTTGGTCACCACAAGAAGACCAGGATTCTTCTAGTTAGATCTCCACACAGCCCCAGATGCCCTCTTTTCTGTCCCCATCCTGAAATCCTTTAACCAAGCCTTCTGGAACTTGCTGTCAGTCAACAGCAAACTCTCCATTCTCATGCTGGCTTCTGAATAGTCCCTTCGTTTTCTTGCCATGCCTTAGTGATTCTCATACCTATTGGACTCAACACTCCATTTTTTATAATTTATATTTTGAAATGCCCCTTCACTATTATGAAATGAAGTTCATAGATAATAGAATCTGTCTACACACATAATTCCCCCCAAACCAATGTAATGTCCTAATTGTAATATAAGGGAGAAGTAAAGGAAGAGTAATTTATGATAAAATGATATGCATTTCAGTATTTAAAGGCTGGGATATAATTTCACTGGAAGATATAATGAATGGTCTTGCATGTAATGATACTTGCACCTGGGAATGTGACACATGTGTGTTGATTGCTCAGAAACCATGGGTAGGGTGATATGCTTTTCCAAACCATTGTTCATGAATATCAAGAATTGTTATTCTTCATAAAGTTTTAAACAAAACAAAGTGCAATCCTCCCTCAATTAGTATGGTTCATTGAATTTCTGGAAAAGTCAGTACATATTCCATAATCTGGCCCCCATAACCTTTCAGACCTTCTCTCCTACCATTCTCCCCACTTGTTCCCTCTCTCCCACCCATACTGGCCTCCTCTATGCTACTTGAACATAGTAGGCACACTTCCACCTCAGGGGTTTGTACTGTGCCATCCCCTAGACCTAGAATGCTTTCCCCCCAAATATGTACAAGGCTCAGGCCCTCACTTCCTTCAGGCTTCTTCTCAGATGTCACTTTCTCAATGAGGCTTACCTTGACCATCCTCTTTAAAGTTACAGCTCTTCGGGGCGCCTGGGTGGCGCAGTCGGTTGAGCGTCCGACTTCAGCCAGGTCACGATCTCGCGGTCCGTGAGTTCGAGCCCCGCGTCAGGCTCTGGGCTGATGGCTCGGAGCCTGGAGCCTGTTTCCGATTCTGTGTCTCCCTCTCTCTCTGCCCCTCCCCCGTTCATGCTCTGTCTCTCTCTGTCCCAAAAAAAATAAATAAACGTTGAAAAAAAAAAACATTAAAGTTACAGCTCTTCCCTAGAATATACCCCATCTATTTTTTTCCCATAGTGCTCCTCACCCTCTTATATAATATATAATCTACACCTTTATTGTGTTTGTCATTTATTGTTTAAGTCTCCTACTGGATTGTAAGCTCTAGAAGGGCAGAGATTTTTGTCTTTCTCATGCCTTGATGTATCCCTATTACCTAAAACAGTGCTTAGCACATAATAGGCTCTCTTTTTTAAATTTTTTTTTAATTTTAATGTTTTATTTATTTTTGAAGGAGAGAGAAACAGAGCATTAGCAGGGGAGGGGCAGAGAGAGAGGGAGACACAGAATCCGAAATGGGCTCCAGGCACTGAGCTGTCAGCACAGAGCCCAACGTGGGGCTCAAACCCACGAACTGTGAGATCATGACCTGGGCCGAAGTCTGACGCTTAACCAACTGAGCCACCCAGGTGCCCCAATAGGCTCTCTTAATAAATGTTTGTTGAATGAATAAATGAATGCAATGAATGGGTTTTTCACCTACGTGATCGTCTGGTGGGACATTCTAAAGTTGCATGGATATGGTATAATTATTTGTTGTTTGGAGCTGTCTTGAGCACTGGGCACCCCTGGTCCATGCCTACTAAATGTTACTAGTGATCTCCAGTTACGGTGGTGATCAAAAATGTCCCCAAACGTCCCTTGACTGTCTACCCCCTGCTTGAGTAGAAATTAGCTTTCCCCTGAGCACTCTGCTCCCCAGCGCCCCCTCATACCCCTCTTTCCAGGAGGCCTGGAGGTGAAGGTAGGTGTCCTCACTCTGATTGACCATCCCAGACACTTTCTTTCCCTCCTCCTCAAACAACTTTTTTTAGCATTAAAAAATTTTTTATTTTTACCTAACTTCAGACTTAAAAAGTTATAAAAATAGTACAAAGAATTCTCACCTATCCTTCACTCAGATTCCTTAAGTATTAATAAATTATGCAACTATAGTTCAACTATCAAAATTAGGGAATTAAAATTGGTAAAATAGTATTAATGAAAGTACAGAACTTATTCAGATTGGATCAGTTTTTCCACTTATGTAATTTTTCTCTTCCAGGATCTAATTCAGGATCTTACATTTCATTTAGTTGTCATGTCCTCCTTAGGCTGAATACCTAAGAAGATATGTGTCTTCAGTGTTTTATGTCAGAAAGCATATGATGTCAGTTTTTCCCGATACTGGTTTTGTACACTTTGACTATTTGTTTAAGGTGGTGTCTGCCAGGTTTCTCCATTATAGTTGCTCTTTTTTCCTTTGTAATTAATAAGTGATTTGTGGGGAGATACTTTAAGATTATGTAAATATCAACCACCTTGTTTTAAATCTCAAATCATCAGACTAAACCATTACCCACCCGTCTGTGTTATAGTCAGGTATAGGCATATACTAATACCTGCTCCCATCATACCTCATTCCTAGAATTTAGCTACTATCTCACTGTCACTTTTTAGCACTACACCAGTTCTACTTCTTGGTGATTTTAATATCCTCATTGATGATCCTTCCAATATTCTTGTCTCTCACTTCCTTGATCTGTTTTCCTATAATGCTCTTGCCTTTCAATCCCACCTCAGCTACCCTCTCTGATAATCTCACCCTTCTTATCTGTACCTATGACTGTATCACCTCCGTACTCTGTTTCAGGCATTCTGCCATCCAGCCAGTGATTCTTATCCTTCTAGTTTACTCCCTCTAGCTCTCCAGCTCCAACAACCCCTCCACACCACCAAGACTGAACGCTTTCACTACCCTTTACTTCCTCCGTGTTCCCATGCCCTTTTAATCAGCTCAGATTCCATGGTGCATCATGATAACCATAGCCTTGCATATATCGTCACTTCCTTTGCCCTCTGTGTACTTCAGCATGTCTACAGGGCAAAACTCCTGCCCTGGTTAAGTCCTACTGTCTGCTTGCTCCGCTGCACTACCCTGCGCCATTCACTCTCCTACCTTCCTCATTGACTCAGATTCCTTAAATATTAATAAATTATGCAACTATAGTTCAGTTATGAAAATTAGGGAATTAACATTGGTATAATTGGTATAAATACAAAATAGCATCTTCTTTCTCCTTAAATCTCCTGATACCTCCTCTTCCATCCTGTTCTCAAGCTTCCCACTTGCCTGAAGAATTAAAACCATCAGAAGAAAACCTGCACAGATTCCCATAACCACATCTAACCACCAAACAGCACCTGTAGTCACATACTCTGCCTTCTTCTCTGTTATTATGGATAAACTGGCCCTGCTGTCATCAGACTCTGGTCCCTCCACTCAAATACATTGTTCCAGCAATTTCCACTTCTCTACAAATCATTAGCACACAGACATTCTGTTACTGCTCCCACCTTTTTGTAGAGTGTTATTGAGATATATTTAATACAATAAAATTCACTCTTTTAAAGGGTGCTGTTTTTTTTTTTAGTATATTCAGAGTTGTGCAACCATCACCACAATCAATTTTAGAACATTTTTATCTGCCCCCAAAAGAAGCTTCATACCCATTAGCAGACCCTCCCCATTACTCCCCTCCCCTCAGTCATAGGTAACCAGTAATCTACTTCCTGTCTCTGTTGATTTGTCTAGTCTAGACTTTTTATATAAATGTGATTATACAGTATATTGGTCTTTCTGACCAGCTTCTTTCATTTAGCATAATGGTTTGGAGGTTCATCCATGTTGTTGATGTAGCATTCCTTTTCACTGCCAAATAATATTCCATTTGATGGAATAGACCACATTTTGTTTGTCCTATCTGTTTGTAAATTTTTGGACATTTAAGTCGTGTTTGTGTTTGGTATTATGAATAATACTGCTCTGATCATTTGTGCACAAGTTTTTGTGTGGGTGTGTGTTTGCTTTTCCTTTGGGTAGATACCTAGGAAGTGTACTTACTTGGTCATATGGCAAATCTACGTTAACTTTTTGAGAAGCTGTTTGCAAAAGGGGCTGCTCCATTTTACATTCCAATTTCTCCATATCTTCACTGACACGTT